AAAAAAAAAAAAAAAAAAGAACACTTTCCAATCTTCTAGTTTCCTCCAATCCTGAAAAGTTCTGAGTTCAAGTCCTGACTACACCACTCTGGGTAGATACCTTGAAGGCTACAATCTCTGTTTTCACCTGAAAAGTGAGGGTGTCATGCCTCCTACAAAGGGCTGTGAAGGTGACCCTATGAGATAACACAGTGACCCAGAGGGCCCAGCAAGGTAGGCTGTTGCTACTGGGGAGATGTATATAGACACCTCTTACCCTGGTCCATTACCTCTCTGCTCCCTGAACCCAACAAGGCTCTGCATGGCTCCTATTCCTTAGGGATATAAGGCTTGAGGGGACAGTCAGGACCAAGGTAGGTGTTGGAGTGGGAATGGTCAGGAGACAGTTAACAGGACAGACAGCTCAGTGTGTAGGCAGTGGCAGGCCTGCAGCAGGTCAGGCATTGGGATAGGGCTGCACATTCCAACTCCAAGCAGACTACATCACTCTCATGTTAATTCTTAGTAGACTGACCACATGGTCGCTACTCAGGCTCTAAAGCCTCCTCCTAGTAGGCACTCAAATATTTGCTGAGTGAGTGGGTGCAGGCATGTGTGATTGGTTTTGGTCAACTCCCAGGCCAGCTGCTCATAAACCTCTCTTTGCAATAAATACATCCTGGGCCCCAGAGTCACACACCTATCCCCAGAGACCTCTCCACACCTCCTTTCTACCCTCCTGTACAGGAACCTCACCATACCAAGGCGACATGGCAGAGATGAGCAGCCTTCCCTGGGGACTGTCCACTAAACACCTGCAGAACAACAGAATGTGGCCACAGCTTCATGGGCCCAGGAATGGGACAGTGGCTCAGAGGACAAAGGGTCCTGGTTGGCTCAGGAAGTGGACAGAGTAAAAGGAAGGCAGGCCCTTAGCATGCCTGAGCTGCCATCTTACTCAAACTTTCTCCTGGTCCCTATAGGAACCAAGAACTTCAACCTGACTACATAGCAACCTTGTTGTGGCTGGTTCTATGCCCCTGTCCCTACTTTGACCATTCTTCACTCCTGATCTGAATCAGCTTTTCAAACATATTCACATCTATTACCACTCTGCTGAGGTAATAGCTTTTACTATTTTACACTCCATTTCACAGATGAGGTCATCAGGCCAGGGAGGTTAGAGGACTTGCACAAGGCCAGGCCATCACAGAGTGCCAAATTCAGACTTTCCAACACAACATCAGTGCTCTTTTCATTCTGACATGCTACCCTTTAATATGCAGCTTTACAAAATTAAATACCTGGTCTTTGTTTCGATCAAATTCATTGTGCAATGCTGCAACTGTTCTTTGGAGTGTGAAGCAAACTCATCAC